GCTGCGCTGTCGGCATCCGTAGCCCCCGAGTTCCGGCGAGCTTGGGGCGCCCCCGGCGGGGTCCCCGCTCCAGCAGGCGCCCGTGTGAGTATGCGAGCGCGTGGCGCGCGCGCCCGAGCGGCAGCCGGGGAATAAAATGTGACACGCACGCCTCCGACTCCAGCGCCGCCCGGCCGGGGGAGCTCCGAGCACCGCGGCATCGCCTGCTTGGAGGAGCGGCGTGGGGAGACGGCTGGTAAGGGAGGGCACTGGGGTCGGGCAGGGGGCGACGTCTCGTTCGGTGTCGCTGCAGCCTGTGCGCTGCTCGACGCGGAGTTATTAGACTCGGAGACTAGGAGCCAGAGCAGTGGGTGGGGAATGTGGGTGGGTTGGGGTGCAGGCAGTTCCGGAGATGAGCGAACTGGAGGGCTTGCACTTTGGGGACAGGCGGACACAACTGTTCCCTTGCGGCTCAGTAACGGTGGTTTTTCTTTGGGGCTCTGGATGGGAGTGAAGAAATTTTATTGTCTCTGTCTATCCCACCTCTGTTGCAAAACTGCGCTCCTTAAAGCGGAAAGTGTGTTCTGTGGCTTTCTGGTTCTCTGTAGCTATGATGTTTAGCAGCGGGGGCGTCGGCGCCCTAAGTACCGGAGCCTTCAATCCCATGCACCCGGCAGGCGGAAAACTCCGCTGGCGGGTCGTTGCGCTTTCCAGGGTGCGGAGTGGCGACTCGATGCTTTCGAATGAGTAGGATATGTGACATTGGTCTCGTTCGGATTTGACGGTGCTGGTGCTCAGGGACTGAGCGAAGTTAAACTCCGGCTCGCAGCAAGCGGTGCCTTCCGAAGAGAGCTGAATGGTGCGTTTGGAGCTGTGCTTTCCAGGAATTTAAATGAGACTTCTTGTGAGTGCCTTCCAGGTCTCTCCCCGGTACCATGTTTGTTTTGTCAGGCTGAACTTTGGAACTGTTTCATAATCCGAGAAGCGCTTTAGGGGGGAAAGTAATGCTTGGCTGGATTTTTGTGAACTTATTTTTATTGGTCATGCTGACACTTTGGCGTGGTAAGCCATGTTTGGTCGAAATCCTGGTCCCTTGTTCCGCTGGCGTCCTGGCGTGCTGGTCCTCCTGGCCGGGCTGGCGGCTTGGGTGAGGGCCTCCGACTGGCTGGGAATACATTTTACATTCAAAGTACTTTCCACGCATTTAAAAGGCCCCCTGCAGGATACCGGATACTTTTTAAAAAAAATTCTGATGAATATTTTTTGCCACTTGGAAAAATAATTTATAAATAAGAAAGAATTCCAGTGAAGTGGTAGGTAGCATCCTGTTGTTGCCAGTTTAAGATTTTTAAAGAGGGAGTAGGATGTGTGGTCTTCACCCCTGCTGTCCCCTTCCCCATTTTCCTCCACGTGACAAGATTTTTACAGCACTTGAAGGCTTGCATTTTGTACTACTTACTGCATGAAATAATTGTTGGCAACGATGGATATTGTGACCAAAGTAAGGAGAAACCTAAAATAATAGATGAATAGCCTTGAACTTTACGGCATGGTTTTAAAAGGCAGCTAAACAAACATGCTGGGATCGTGGAGCCAGTAGGTGGACCTCGGAACACCTTACCTGTTTGCCTGGTGCAGTGGCCGCTTCTGGAGTTTTGAGCTGAATTTCTTATAGAGATGGTGAGAGGAGCCTCTGCTCTTGGAGTTCTGGGCTGCGCGGCTGCTGGACAGAGTTCAGAACCGCCACCAGCATTTGGCCAGCTCCTTAGGTGGCATGACCCGAGGACCCGAAGGTAAAGATCTGAAGGTCCTGAGACTGGAGGCTTCAAGGATGAGCTCATTTCATATTTGAAAATATATGAATGATTTATTAGGCAAAAGGGTAATCGGCTTCTGACGAGCGTAATTAAAAGGGAAAGGGTTTACACTTGGCAAGGGAGGACTTAAATTGAGTCTAGAGAGTTGTGAATCCAGCCAGCACGCTTGGTGGAGGGCTGCTGAGAGATTCCAGTGCCCTTGTTTCCGGAGGTTTGTTCCTGGGCTCTCGGGTTGGCTTGTTTTTCCTGAGATCCCCCTCGCTGCGGCGGTTTAAGCGTGTGAGTCTCTGGTCTATCGCTTATACTAACTGCAGTTTTATCCCCAGGTCTAGAATTGATCCAAACATCTTTCTAATTTCTCTAAAATGGCAAACTCATTCCTAGTTTTCTGCAGCTCCTGCCTAGGTAAATGGATAGTGGGCTCCTTCCCAGAAACTGAGATTTCTCCTCTGCATAACTGTTAATTCGTAAATGTACTGCTTCATTCGGGAGATCTTGAATTTCGATATCTTCTGCTCCATTATAAAAACCTTCTTTTTTCGGGACCAGCAGTTAGCATAATGGTTATGTCGCTGGACTCCCACGTAGTCAGTTGACTGCAGTTCGCGTCCCAGACCCGGTGGCTTATGGCTTAAGACTCACGCCGGGCGCGTGTGCGTGCGTGCCCAAGATCCCGAGAGGAGAATGGAGGAGAAGGGATTGCGGTATGACCATCCCCTCTGGGGGGTGATTTCTCGCTTTCTGTCTCTATATCTCTCTTTGTTTGGCAAGCGCACATGCCCTATAGCGAAAATCTCTCCCCCTCCCCCCCAAAAAGTCTTTTTTCTTAGAACATATTTTCTCTTTAAGTATATCATGCTATTCTCATAGATTGTGGTTTTCCCCTCCAGGATTTTCTGTAATATAATCTTAAAACGTAATTTCCTAAGTTAAATGAAGTACTGCATTCCAGTTGTAGAAATGCCAAAGCAGAACAGACAATAGGTGGGTGCATGTTAAGGGTTGATTTATTTTTTAAGGCTTGAAAGCCCATCCCTTAGAAAGAACTATGGGCTGAAATTCACAAGTGACTGGGAAAACACCCTACAGACAGTCGGGGAAGTACGCATGTGTCGGTGTGGACGCTGTCAGTGTCCTCACACCAGCTGATGCCCATGCGCGGACTGGGGGGCTGTAGAAAATGCCCAGCCGCTCACAGACTATCACGCTCCCCATTAACATCACTGCCGTTTCTCCGAAAGCCCCCCTTCCTGCTCTGGAGAGATTTGTTTGTACACATTATTAAGCACACAGTGCAAAGACAGAAGCAATAGAAAGCCGTGGGTTTATTATTATGCCTTTGATTCAATTCGAAATTCGCTCTTGTCAAAATACTTAGAACATACTTAGAAATACTTAGAACATGGGAAGGGAAGGGAAGGGAAGGGAAGGGAAGGGAAAGGGGAGGGGAGGGGAGGGGAGGGGAGGGGAGGGAAGGGAAGGGAAGGGAAGGGGAGAGAAGGGAAGGGTGAAATATGTTTCAGAGGCATGAGGAATGAATTGGGCAGCCCCAAGTCTGGGGAGGAGTTGGTGACCGGCCTTGTCCTGGGAAAAGCAGCAGTTGCTGGACTCCTGTCTTCACTCAGCCACCTGCAGGTCCCCGGGAGGCTGTCCCGTGGTACCAAGTGCCTGCTGGTCTGCGGGAGGAATTGCTCTGGGGTGGAAATGACTTCAAAGCATGCGGCCACTCTGGGGAATGCTTTGTGCTGGAAACTCAGCTGTGCCCTCCTGGCTGCTGCCCCTTGTGGTCCTCTCTAGGAAAGAATTTCGGAACTGAGGCACATGCTGGCTGTAAAAATCAGGGAGGATGTGCAGTTTCGCCTGGGCTCCAGCACAGAGTGGCAGCGAAACCGATTGGCCAGTGCCCTCATAGCCACCAGCCCCGGAAGAAGTGGCTTCCCGGGAGCCCAGCTTTCAGAACTGTGCGAGGAAGACTACCTCTCCTCCAAGGTGTGTCCTGGTGCGGGCAGAAGTGATAATTGCTTCTTCTAGCTTGCTTAAAAGCTAATTTCCGCACAGCCCCAGGGGAGAGTAGTAATTCGGAGAATAATAATAGCAAGGATTTGCACTAATTATGTACCACACCCTGCCATTTACTCTGCATAGATTATCAGAAGCACTTACCTCAACCCTGCCAGGTACCATTACCCCCATTTTACAGGTGAGGTGTCTGAGTCAGAAGTGAGGTGCCTTGGCAAGGCCGGGACGTGAACCTGGGTCTGGGCTGTCCGAAATCCATGCTGTTAGACTGAGGTGCACTCAACAGAGGGACAGGAGTGGTCCAGCTTCCTGTCCTTGTGTTGACCAGAGACCAGTGGTGGATGGATGGGCAGGACTACAGTGGAAGGGACAGCAGGACAGCCTGGGTGTACAGGAGCACGTCTTCATCCCAACCTGGACACTGAGGAAGGCTGGAGCATTGGCTTAAAAACGGGCCGCGTCCTGTGCACTCTCTAGGCAGTCAGTGATTAGAATGGCATTCGTGCTGAGAGC